CATTTCCATTGACTACATAATTTCAAAAAACTAAAACCAAACCCACATATGACGCAACAGATTTAGAACCTCCAAATGATTTATGCAAAATGATGAATTAAAAATAGATGATTTCACTAATGTCTTTATACTTTTTTGTTATCTTTTTAAAACTAAATCAAAATCGAATGTTCCCTCGTAACAAGTAAATGTAAATAATGTTTTTCTGTGTTGTGTAGCTCAACAAGAGCTGCGTTCGAAGCGCGAGCAGGAGGTGGCGGTGCTGAAGCGCAGCCTGGAGGAGGAGGCGGCTTCGCACGAGGCCTCGCTCTCCGACCAGCGCCACAAGCACTCACAGGAGCTGCAGCTCCTCAACGAACAGCATGAACAGATCAAGAAAGCTAAAGCAGGTTAGCGCAAATAATATGCTAGGTAGACAAAGTTTGCTCGAATTGGACGCCGATTGAGCTCTAAAAGGACGCGGATTGGTCTATAAGTAGAGCAGATTGATCACTTAGTGGACGCTGATTAGTCGATGGATGGACGCCGATTGATTTATAAATGGACGGGATGGACGCCGATTGATTTATAAATGGACGGGATGGACGCCGATTGATTTATAAATGGACGGGATGGACGCCGATTGATTTGAAAATGGACGCCGATTGGTCTCTAAGTGGACACCGATTTATTTTTAGGTGGTCTTAATAATTACGTTTGAGTGCTATAACTTTATACCACCATTAGTTTACGATTTTTATGTTTGTGCATGCAGATATGCAATTTGTCGGTGAGTTATGGTTCCAATCTCGATGCATAGTACATCTTTGCTCAAACAAAAGTATTTACATTTTTTTTATAATTTAACATTTCTGCTATGCTATAAGCTATTCAAATAAGGCTCCAATTTACCGGGTTTATTTTTGCAATAAATTCCCGAATACAATAAAAACTCCTCGCTAAGACGTTTTAAGCCTCAAAGCCAACGCTTCCATTTTCAAATAGTAGAATTTTAAAACGATTTTACAAAACGACATCAATCAACAAATGTCAAATTTTTCGAATGTCAAAACTTTTATGAAGATTTATGCGGATTTTTTTAGTTATTATATTAAAGATTTAGTGTTTAGTTAAAAATATAAAAAAAGAGAATGGGTAGTGTAAAAGAGCGTAGGCAGAAGAATGCGAAGTTTGGTCTATCGAAGGATGATAATTTCGACCTGTCGTGTGTGGGCGCGCCGCACGATGAGGGCAACGCGTTTAACTCCACCCGCGAGTACTGGCAGCACATCTGCAAGGGCGGGGTGCTGCCCGAGAGGAAGGACGACCTCACTGACAAATGTAGCTGTTAGTAACACTTGGGACGTAGTTGTCGCATCTCATAACCTCATTAGCACATCTGTATGCTTGTGTTAAATTATTATTGTAAATATAACGACTTTTGACTGGGATAGCATCAATTTAAAATGTTTAATAGTTGCAATATAATCGCTAATTTTATCGAATTGTTGTCTTTTAATTCATATTAGCATCTATTGAAGGCATTGCAGATAGTCTGGGGGGGGAGGGGTAGCTATCATTGGTATTATATTAGGTCCGGAATACATATGCCAGATGCTGACTAGCTAACAATGTTAACTGACATGGTAGTTACTACTACTTTTCACTGACATGGTATATTCAAGCCTACATTCGCACTAGTTTTATATCTATTTCACATTTTTTGATTCTCTATGATGGGCTTCACTACCGCTAGACGACTCCTATGTAATCTATTGAATTTCTCGACAATCAGCTTTGATATCTTGCATCGATTATTGATCTGCCTAGTTTGAGTTAGATGTATTATGTTGTTCGTGGTGTTGAGGATTGCTGTGTGTGTAGTGCTGGAGAAGGCGAAGCAGGCGCTGGAGGCGGAGAACGCGGACCTGGCGACGGAGCTGAAGAGCGCGGCGGCGGCGCGGGCGGAGGGCGAGCGCCGCCGCAAGCAGGCGGAGGCGCAGCTGGCGGACCTCGCCGCCAAGCTGCAGGACGTCGACCGCTCCAGGTATTACTGTCGTCTAGAACAGGAATAATAAGCGTGCTCTAATAAATGGAATGGAAAATTATTTTATAGTAGCTTTCGCCCGCGACACCGACCGCGCGGAAATAAAAAAAAACTTATTGTAGTTAGTTAGCCAATGTCTTCTTGCAGACTACCCTCAACATCTATGTCAAATTACATCGAGATACGTTCAGTTGTTTAGGCTATAAACTCTAACAAACATCCATCCATCTAATCTTTCGCATTTATAATATTACTAAGATTTACTTTACAATTAATCGTGGCATACTCGTGGTTATGGTGATATTTTACTAAGCAATAAATATAATATTTGGGATCAGGGCGGAGGTGTTGGAGAAGTGCCAGCGGCTACAGGGCGAGGCGGAGCAGGCGCTGCTGCAGCTGGAGCAGGCTGAGCTGAAGGCCTCCGCCGCCCTCAAGCAGGCAGCCACAGTGGGTGCGCAGCACGCTGAGGCTCAGGTACACACAGCACCAATAACATAAATACAACTGGAGACATCTGTTACATATTTTGTTTGTCTAATGGTAATGTGGTGCAGGCGCTGCTAGAAGAGGAGACGAAGCAGAAGTTGTCGCTGCAGACGAGGCTGCGCAATGTGGAGCAGCAGTTGGAGCAGGCGCGTGACCAGTTAGATGAGGAGGAGGAGGCCAAGAAGAACCTCGAGAAACAAGTACGTATGGTCTCAACACTAACATACGCAAATTGCATTTTAAAATTGTAACAACTATTTTTCTATTTAAGGAATGATTTGCCAACTTCACTTCTTAAAAAACTATAATTTAATACTTTTTATTCTGATTTACTTGCTAGAAACAATTATTCGCAACTAGTTTGCATATATGGTTTTCGAGCCGTACCTACAGCAATTTGTTGTTGAGTTTGTTTATAAATTAATTGTAAAGTTAATGATTAAACAACTTACAACTGGGGTGTCATTCAGGTGGGCGCACTTACACAACAAGTGGTGGAGGCCAAGAAGAAAGCGGAGGAGGAGGCGGAGGCGGCCGCCGCGCTGGAGGAGCAGCGCAAGAAGCTCAGCAAGGATGTGGAGGCGCTGCACCGACAGATCGACGAGCTGCAGCAGGCCAACGATAAGCTCGACAAGAGTTAGTACACGTCTGCACACTTGCTAACTATACCCCAACGACACTGATATTTCACTAGAGAGTCAAATACATGACCGTACTAATGACATCGTCCACTTCTTGCCTATCTTCTTGTTTTAGTCAAAGTATAGTAGTTTGTGTGTATTACTCGTGCAGGCAAGAAGAAGGTGCAGGCGGAGCTGGAGGACACAAATATCGAGCTGGAGGCACAGCGCGCCAAGGTGCTAGAGCTCGAGAAGAAGCAGAAGAGTTTCGACAAGGTGGTGGCGGAGGAGCGCGCGGTGGCGGAGCGCAACGCGGCCGAGCGGGA